ATTTCAAACTTCAAACGACAAAGTTGATATCAGCACAATTGAAGTAGAAAACACACAACATACAACTTTATTAGAAACCATAAATGCAAAATGCAGGCAACGGAAAAATTGTAATTCAAGATTTGAACTTATGTGACAATATTCAAACGAGGTGTTGTCTGATTATAAAGGATGAAGAAAGAAGTCCATACTTCACTCCACCTCGTTGTGATCAGGCTTGGTTGTATTGCATATATTGCATTTAGTACTTTTAGCCATGGCTTAATCTATCGGACATATTGCACTTCATACGTATAGTCCAGTTTATGTTTGAATAGAACATCAGTCTAAATATTTGGATCAAATATCAGTTCCGAGTAATAAGATTTTGTATTAATCACATAATCATTTATCTCAAGTACACAAAGTCATTGTAAGATTACAAGTATCAATCTTTACATCATAAGCACAATCCACGTCATTGATCTTCTAACCACAAAGTTATTGTAAGAACACACGTCCCAATCTTTACATCACTAAACAATTCACATCAACAAGCTTAGAAGTAGATGAAAGGGGAAAAACACAAATCATGTGACAAGAGTTTAGCTATCAGAATTTTGAGAAGAAACCTCAAGAAGTTACAGTTTCACTGCAAACTGCAAAATCGTGTTTAACCAAAAAATTGTTAAAAGCATGAACAACAATTTTGAGAAGAAAATTTGGACAGTTAAAGTGTCACTTCAAGCTGCAAAATTGTGTTAAACCAACAAATTTATAAGAGCATGAATAACATCAGCGGAGTCATCACATGATAGAACGAGACAAGTACAAATCATGTGACAAAAGTGTTGTGATCAAAATTTTGAAAAGAAACTTTGGGCTGTATAAAGTTTCACTTCAAGCTGCTAAATTGTGTTTAACCAACAATATGATAAAGCATGAACATGTGATAGACCGACAGTCATTACATAATGTTATTATATGCAAGTGAGCTCTTCAAATGTGTGACATTAAACGCGTGGCCATTGCCCAAACAGAATGTCTTATGATTTTTGAATGGAGCACGCTGATTGATTCCATTTGTTGTACCTGTAAAGAGTTGCGGAAGAACTTTTTTTGGAGATGGACATGAGAGTCCTACAATGGGTACCCATATCCATGGATACCCAATATTCAACCTTGCATCCTAGCCCATACCCATTATCCATGGATATGGGTGGGTATTGGGTATCCATTGCACGATTATGATGTAGACACAGCAAAATGCTAACACAATTATACACAAAAAATTGACACAAAGTATGTGATATTGATACAACATGTGAATATAAAAAAAAATTAACCAAGAAACTCCTTAAGTGTTAGACAATAGCTTTGAGTAGTTTTTACTTTATAGTTTACAACAAAACCTAACAAGGATTACACTACTTGAGTTAAAATAGATAATAGTATCAATCGATTGCAGAATTTGCAAATAAAAAAAGTATTTTTGCATCAATGATTGATATTTTTTAATGTATATATATAAATATTTTGTAAATAAAAATTACAATATTAAAATTTTATTGTTTGTAAAAGGAAAAGTCATATTAAAAAATATTTTATAAGCTAATTAAAGTTAAAGACAAAGTTGCACATGTTTATTGCATAGCTTGTTTTCACATGTTTATTCTTCAATTTGATATTTATAATTGAATTTCAATGATAAAATTATCAGCTTTATTATCAATTATCACTTTCATTTTGCATATATATAAATATATCACATCACAAGTATGGACATATAATGAAAGAATGATTATATTCAGATAATTATTAATTTATTTGCACATGATAGTTGATGTATAATGGTATAATTAAATATGAAATAGTATCTAAAATAATTATATAAGATTCAAACAAATAACTTGTTATTTTTTATTTTAAAAAAATTATTAAAAAAAGAATAAATCAAAAAATATAACTCAATAATTTAACAAATTCATTGAAAAGTTAACAACAACATCCAATTAATAAAAAAGAATTTAGTAAAATATTTAAAATCAAATTTATAACTAAAATACATATTATGAAACTTTATGTAATTTTAAATTTTAGAATCTCATATTTCTATTTTTATTTTTATTTTGAGCATAAAAATATTAAAATTGTGATATAATTATTGATAAAATTAAATAATATTGGATTTGAATTTTATTTTTTAAAGTATAATCTATTTATAAATTTTTGATATATTTAAAAATCATATAATTGATTTAAATTTTAATACTATTATAGAAAAAATTGATGTTTGAATTATTAATCTTTTTTTAGAATATTGAGGGTGTTATTAGAATTTTGACACAAACCTTTAAATTTGAATCAAAAGTTATGAATGTTGGATTTTTTTTCAAGATAGCATATATCTATTATAAATAACTTATGTGCCATTGGATACATCACACAAATATAATTTGCAAAATTGTGTGACATGATAAATTTATCAATATTTATTCATTTCATTTATGCATTCATAAAATTTTTAATAACTTTCATAAAATGTTAATTACACTTAATATTGAATCAATTTGCATCAATCTCTTTACTTATATTATCATGTACATAGATATGATACGTCAAAGAAACATTTATTAAATTTACTATGAACAAATTGTAACATTCATGCGCTTGGGGCAATGACGCAGTTAGTGAGGTGAAACCGAGACGCGTCAATTGCTGGTTGAAAACTATTTCCTATTTCCATGCAATATTTGTTTGTAAATTTTCAACAACAATTTGTAAACATCACACAAAAAAGCTGAACTTGTTTATATATATATATATATATATATATAATATTACACATGACACAAATGGAGCAAATTTTTTTTCATTTCTTGCAACATCTTTGATATCAGATATAATTTTAAATATTGTTCATGCAAATTTTTTCATATTTGTCAATATATTTTTTCGTGTAACTCTATGATCTCAGTTAAATCTTCATTAAAATTTCAATTTGAATCAATTACAACAATTTAATTCTATTTTTAACAATTACATCAAATGCAGAAAATTTAATTCACAAGATTGTCATTTAGTGTGATAATTTTCTAATCTACACTTTTAAATCTAGATTTCTTGTAAGTTGTGATAATAAAATTATCATCTATATACTAGCATGAAAACGCTATTTTTTTAATCTCAATTGATGTGAAATGATTTTAACTACTCTTAAAGTTTGACCAAAGCTCATTTGACATCAATCTTATATTATTTTAGTCCATTTTTTGTTTCCATAATTTGGCAAAAATTTTAGTGTTGTCATCCTTATTTCAACAATTTTATACATGGCTTGGATCACTTGCACATGATGTATTTTCATGTGTATTCACTTGAAGACATAAAATATTCATCTAATTTAAAGTGATAGAAGTTAATAATGATATTCGAGTACCTATTGAATTGCATATAAGTGATTGTCGTGAATTTTTTTGGCAATTTTTATTGAAGTAAGTTTTTAAACTGCATCACAAAAGTTTAGTCAAAATTTTCAAGTAAATCATGAATTCAATATTAAACTCTTTGATCAAATATTTTTCATCATAAGTCTGTACCAATTTACTCTTGTGTCTGAACCTAGTTTCATCAAGGTGAGGGTAAAGAGATAAGTTTAAGCTTTTAATGATTTTGCTCAACTCTTTTGATGACAATATATTATTATTTGAGGTCACATCATACTCAGTTTTTGTTTCATCATATATTTGCACAAATGGCTTTGCAATAATTTTTTTATCACTATTTTATTTGAAATTTAGGAAATTTTTAATTTTGAGCTCTATGGATGTTGACAATTCATACAAACATACATATCAATTACCAAAAAAAGATATTAGTCATTATTACAATAGTTAGTAGCTTTGTTATAAAAGAAAATATTTATAACAAGGATTCACTTCAATTCATCAACAAAATGCATTTTACAAATAAGTGTACAAGTCAAATTTGTGAACAAAAGTACAATGAATGTATTGTGACAGTATAAACAAACAATATAAATTACTTGATGCAGGATTGTGTTCTTAATGACATCTATTCAACATACAACTGTGACTTTCATAAAGACATGTGTGCTCCATTTTTAAATGTCACACAAAAGCTTCTTTTTGATTGCAAAATTAGTATGGAATTTCAACTCATCCAATTCATACATATACTTAGGTACATTGCATTCCTTACTTTATTTCTTGATCTTATTGCATAAATCTGGTTGGCTCTCCAGCCGATTGAAGTATGGATCTTTACTCAAATTTCATAAAAAATTCATACACAAATTTAGTTTCACACTATGTTAGAAACTACGCTTCCAACTTACTCAATACTTTCACATTATACACAATTTAGATAAAAACTAAAATGAGTTGCCGATAAATATTTACAGTTAACTTTTTCTTTGCATCAGGTGCGTAACTCTGATGGCACTACCTAATATCTTTGTGGATTTACACAGCATTGTATTCATTGTGTAATTTCTTGTGATGACAAATCCACATTGTGTGACTTGCAACAAGACTTGTGGCAACTCTTGTTTAAGCTACACTTCTTATGACCTGGCCATTCATCCACTATCTTGGCACGAGTAGCAGCTGCCAACTTGCCTTCATACTTCTGTCTAACTTTTTTGTATAAAGATTTTTAGTTTTTTGGAGGCAAAATGACCCAAGTTCTCTAAAGAAATCATTTACTTTCCATACTGTTTACTATTAAACATGTCACTACAAGATTATCAAATGAGATGATGCTGCAATCATAAAAATTTGTTTGGCTGTGTTAGATGACCGCACCAAAAAGTATGTAGGGAGTTTGTTTACATGGTTAGGTTGTGGTAGGAGCAATAGTACATATTCCCCTGATGATATGGGGGGCTTGGATGCCCAAGGTTTCACTCATTCACGTGGTTTGCTACATTATTGGGGCCTTCAACCGGAAGCTGGAAACTCTCGTTAACATCGTAGCACTTTGAGGAAATATTGACTCTGTTCCTGTAGAGTGCGAGGAAACGATGCCGGCGCCCAGGGATTCAAGAAGAGGACGAAGAGCAAGAGGCAGAGAATCATGGGGTGCCTCGAGAGCTTCGAATGCGGCCAGAACGCGAAGACCGAGTCTGGAGACAGAGACGCAGACTGAGGCAGGAGGAGGGGGCGGAGTGTCGTAGATTAACGAATTGGCGGGTCTCGAGAGTGAAGAGAAGTGTAGAACTATGGAGACATTGTGCCTCCGTTGGAGAATAAACGGCAGATTGATGATGGGCGCAAAGCTTGTGTGCGGAGTTTCTCTTCTCCTGTGCCTGTTCGCGAGCGCTGCCGCACACCAGTGCTCGCATGAAGATCACCACCATCATCACCACGATGATCTTAAACTGGAATCTCAACGGCAGACGAGCAAATTGCAGAGCCACGACGCGGATGATGATCACGTTCATGGGCACCATTCACCCGCTCATTCTGTCGGCAGTAAAACAGGGCATGCGAACGGCGACGTTGGAGCATTTCGATTGCCAGAAGAGATACACGAAGAGAGGGAGCTAGAGGAATATGGTTTCGATGGGCACCATCATGATCATGAACATGCCCATGACCATGACCACGACCGTGATTCTCTTTCTGTCGGAGGTACAGATTTGAAGCTTATCTCTCGCACTTCGTTCCCTGTGTGAAATTTGTTCGTTTCCGTTGCAGTTTACTTTGCCATGATGCAGATCTTGTACGAGGCTATCCTTCTTTAGTAATCTGTTCAATCAAAATCAACAAACTATCAGGATTATGACATACTGGATGGCAGCTACCATGTCCTTTGAGAACGTGAAATTGCCACCATGAGCTTAAGCTCCATCCTCTTCTCTTATTCCATTTAATTAACTTGTTAAGTCCTGCTTTCTAACGATCAGACTTCCGAAAATCTGCGTCCTGATCCCCTTCTTTTGCGTGCTTAACAAACAGGGAAATTGCAGTTCTCGTAAACACTACTCACTCTGGCCTTCCTTCCCAGCACCTGAAGGTTTATAGATTAGACTGTAATGGACATTGCTCCTCCCATTGGATAGCTAATGAGCACTGGATTTTTGCTGCAGGATGTTCTCCTGCAGCAATTTAAGTGTACAGTCGATATTTTGACTAACATTACTTGGTGAACTGGCAAGATGCAGGTCTATGGCTGCAGGCTATGGGTAGCTCTCTGCTGGTGAGCTCGGCTTCTCTCGTGTGTCTTACAATACTGCCTTTAATAGTGTGTAAGTCTCAAGGAACTCTCGAGCTCGTACTTTATGCAATGTAGCCGTTGGTCGGCCATGAACGTATGTAAGTGAAGTATGATATACTTTCTTCAAGTGCTTTGAAAGACCAAAGTTTGACAATAGGCCGTTGAGCAGTGCCTGGCAATATGGTATGACTTGAATTTTTCAAAAGCAAAGTTTAAACTGGAGACGCGCACCGCACATGAGGAAATGACAGAGCCCTGCCTGCTTGTCATGTACGGTTTCTCTCTGTATGTAAATATCGTAGAGCACCAACCTTTCTTTATAAGGAGGAAAGTGTCCTTTTTGACAAATCATTTTCTGATAAACGTCATGAAAGGACTAAATCTCCGTTGATGTCATTCATGACGACTGTTTTTGCACAGAATGTTGGCCCTTCTCGAAGACATGGCAAATTTTTTTCACAGAAACCTGACATAAACTGGGATGTTGCAATAAATTTTTCTCACAGCACAAGGGAAGCCTTCAAGAGGAGTAGTCGACGCTCTGGCCTCGTTTGGGGTACATTTCTTGACATATTTTTTTTTTCATTCAGATACCTAGAAGAAGACAGTGCACGACATTTTCAGGGTATTGCTCTACAAAAGTGTGATATTGATGAGTGACATTTATAAAAGGCACTGAAGGATTTGTTCACTGTCTTCTAGTTTGTCTAACAATGCTTCACTTTCTGTATCACCTTATACAGGCAGGAACAATGCTTGGAGATGCCTTTTTACATCAGCTGCCCCATGCTTTTGGTAATTTTCGTATGGAGTAGTCAAAGTTGCCCTACTCTTTATGTTTTTCAGTGAAAACTTGTCTTGCTCTCCATACTAGCACCGTTCAGCCAGGGCGCGTGGTGTATGCCTGAGATCACGACGGCCACATATTTTTTTGTACAGCAAGCGAGTTCATCGATACCTTATTTCAGGCGTGAGTTAAATAGCTGTAGGATTCTGAATCCAAACACCAGTTTTGTCCTATTTACCTTAGATGACTTCGTTGGTCCATCGATCAGTGATTTTTTTATTAGTTATAGAGTATAATGTTCTTGTCATGTGTTCCTTGTGCTATTCCAACAGGTGGATCTGGACATTCCCATTCTGAGCATTCACATAATCATGAACATGGACACCAGCATGGCCACGATGAGATAAAGAGTTCAGGGCACTCACATGGACATTCGATCGAAGACTTATCTGTTGGACTTGCCGTCCTTGGTATTATTCTCACTATTCGACTTTCAAGCTTTACATGCAAAATCTGTTCGAGTGTTGTCTTGCGTTTGCAAGCTTCATCCGGTGCCATACCCACTCCAATCTTCGTGTGCATTCAGATCTTAAATATCAATTGTTTTGAAATCAATTGTTTTAATCTCCACCCACATTGCTGTTCATTTGCACCTTGTTGCTGTATCTTTGTAGTTTTTCAGGAAACCCCCTGTGCCAGTCTACGCTTGCATTAAGCTGTTCCTTGCCTAATTGCAGTTCAAAACTTGGAATCTTTTTTTCTGCTTTGGACGTAATTTTTTCTCCATCTGTGCTTACTACTGTACATCTTTGCCAATTTGACTCACTTCATATTGATATGTTTTCTTACATTTTTTGCTATATGATACAGCTTTAAGGCTTTCAAACCTTTCTTTGATCAGTTGAGCAGTAGGCTGTAGTACGATACCTTCAGTGCTACCAAATTACGCCTACCAACTCTATGTTGTTTGCATTTTATATGACCTCCTAACAACGGATGAATGACATGCTGAATGACTTTGTGCAGAGTTGCATGCTGGAATGAAGGACTCAGATTTGTCGAGCTATTGACCAACATGCTTGAAGTTCAATAACAAATGTAGCGATGTAAGCAGCAATACTTATTTTCTTGGCAGCTGGTCAAACGTTTTCCTTTTTTGTACAACAGGTGGAATACTGTTGTTTTTTCTGGTTGAAAAGATTGTGAGACGAGCCGAAGAGCTATCAGTTGGGAACACCTTTGGTCATAGCCACAATCATCACAAACCTAGAAAGGAGGTTCCTGCTTCCCAGAAAGTGAAGGAGTCTCAAACTGAAACAATCGAAGGCAACGGTAGTAACAGCAAAAAAGGCATGAGAAAGGTGAGTCGCAGTCGTGATAGATATCTGTTTTGTAACAATATGTTGGGAAATCAAGATGGCTTCATAGATGAATTTGAGGGACAAGCTCTCAGCGCCAACAATTCACAGCTTCTTTTGTTTTAGTTCCAGACAAGCTAAGCATTAGTCTCAGTATCACGATGTATTGGTGTTTAATCAAAGTTAAGTTATCAGTGATATCAAATTTTATTCATTATATATATCGTTTCTGGTGATTCTGTTTATGGATAAAGAATTTCATCTCTTTAAATCCAGATACGGGTAACAATGCGATCTGCTCTCTTTTCCTATTTATATCCAGGTCGGATTCAAACGATCATTATTTTACATGTTTCTATATATTTTTGTGTCTAGAGTATGTTTGGTTGCTGATTGTTTGTTTGAATATTTTTTTCAGAGAACTGGAAAGGTAGAAAACAACGGTGAACTTCCAGTCGAGAAATCGAAAATCACAGATGTTCAAGTGTCAAAGAAGAGTACGAACAAGACAGATGATCTTGTGGAAGCCGAATGCGTCAATGATGCTACCAATTTGGTCTTTGGTTATCTAAATCTCTTTTCTGATGCTGTGGTGAGTTTTCATACTCGCGTCAGTGATGCTATGTAAAGCGTTTTGCAAACATAGTGAACAAGTGTTTGTCTAGAGACTGCAAAAGTTTTCAAGGTCAACACGGTGATCTCGTTTTGAAATAGAACATGTCCAAGTGCGCCTTTGCAGAAGAAAGACGCGGTCAGTTTAGGGTTAATGAACAGTTTCAATTACTCACTGAGAGCAAATTTCATGTCCACAGCACAACTTTACTGATGGAATGGCGTTGGGATCAGCCTTTTTGCTACACGGGACAGTGGGTGGTTGGTCACGCACTCTCTTTCTTCTCGCCCATGAGCTACCGCAAGAGGTACAGTATAATGAATTGTTTTTGGATCTTCACGAGTGGAAATAGTTTCACATAGTTTTTCGATAGTTGTAATCTTGCAAGTATTAGAAAATGTGATTTACCAACTTGATTAATATACCTATCTTCTACTGTCCCGCAAGAAAATGCATCGAGAATTCTGTTGTTCAAGGATTTATACTGAAAACCTGATGGGATAGTTCAGTCATATGACACTAGTAGCGAACTCGCAGATTTACCAGGCTAAGAATTAGACACCTTCGGCATTTGCCAATAGTGGCAGTGTCACCAAGTGTCAGTATATTATAGAAAGTCTTTGACCTACTCTATACAACCATATTCATCCACGAAACTTCAAACTTGTAGCTGGATCAACTTAACATCCTCATGCGGCAAAACCTGGAAATTATCCCAGGAAACTGTCAAATGACTGGTTAGTGATACGCAAGATGATTTATATTGCAAGTTTGTAGTGATCACACTCTTGGAAATAAGTAAAGGTATAAGCCACCGGCTTAAAAAGTAGATTCATCCGAGAAAAGTACACCCATTTTCCGTATTAGATCTGACATTCATCAGGGCTTCTAAGCGAAACTCTTGGCGAATGGAGCTGTGGTTACCATTTATGAAATACTCAACAAAGAAGAAATGAATTTTACCAAAGAAGATCCATGTGTTTAGGGAACTTCACTAAGTTGCAATTGTTCTTGCAGTCGTCCACAAGCGAGAACTATAATCATGTTAGGATTTGGTGCGTGTGGAATAGTATCGGAGCCTATTATTAATGCAAGTGGATATGGGTCCCTCCTTTCTGAAAATTACTACATGGAAAGAATCGCGAGCATCCATACGCCTCTTTTTATTGGTTATTGATTTCCAGTTTCTCTGATCACTGTGATTTGAGTTTTTAACTCCCTCCCGCCTTATGAACCTTGAAACAGCAAATAGTAGAGCTGCTCGCTAATTCGTCTTTTAATACGGAGAGAAGGCCCTGAAATGCACTGACGAGTCGGTATCATTGACCTTATTTAATTAGTTGTATAGTGACTAGTAATGATTTTGTCTTGTTTGTCTTTCAATCACTCATTCGTACCCGCTACAACGATGCACGTGGTTGAAACACTCATCGTTATATGTAGTGACAAAAATGTTGAGGTTGAGGTTTAGATACCCAAGTAGAGTCTTCCAGTCCATTGATTGGATCACACATAGGAGAAGCTCCATGTTATCGTTTCTGAAGTTCATGACATACGAGTCCTTCGTAGATAATTCAGTAAGATATCTTTTGCTCAGTCTAGCATTTCATGTGAAATGTAGTAGATCTTCTATAGACTTTTCACGTTGCATGAATACTGAACATTCTCGAAAGCTCTTTTCCATATTAGGATCATAGATTACGTACGATTATGATGTGATGCTATACTTTATATATACGAGTCACTTAATAACCGCACCGCTTATTGTCCGGCGATTACATTCGAAGGATGTTTAGAACAATAAAATTGTTAGAAATAGCTGCAAAGATGGTACAGAAATAACAACAGTGTGTCATCTGATTGAAGATCTACGGAATAGATGAGACCAAAGCTATTTCGTTGCAATCAGTAACGTATATATCTTCAAGTAGTTGTAGGGAGAATGGAATTGTGACTGCAGATGGAATATTTACACTGTATAGAGATGTTCTCACGTTGCCTATTCTTTTCTCTCATATATAGCATATCTTTGGAGATCATTCAATTCATTTCGCCGTCAAAAAAGTCGCGACTTGGTTTGTGGACGAGATATGTAATGAAGTAACTTTCACCCCAAGGCACTGAACATGATGAATCTGCTTGTCCCACATCCGTGGAAAATTATACTTGACTTGCATGGCTAGTTGGTAAGGTCGGATCCTTTTTCTGGATCTGCGCCAACTTTACATGTCATCGTGTAGTGTAATTCTCCCTTTTAGTCTCTTAGCAGCGCAATTCCAACTGCTAAATTGTTCACTTGCTATGACATGGTACAGGTTGGTGATTTCGGGATCCTTGTGAGATCAGGATTTGGGGTTTTTAAAGCCCTGGCCTTCAACTTTTTGTCAGCGTTGGTAGCCCTTGCCGGTACCGCATTGGTAAGCGCATCTTCCTAGGAACAGAACAATTTGAGTTCTTTTCTACACTATCAGGCCGCTTCTTGGAATGACACGCAAGTATAATAATCAATTTTCAATAGCTGAGAGAGCATCTAACCATCTCTTTCATCATTTCGAGGTTTAGTATTTAGTCGTATGGATGGTCTAAAAGTTTTTGCACTTCAGTCTGTGGATATACATTCAGTTTCCTTTCCCTGAATCCATTCTTGGCGATTGTGTTATTCTTAGAAAATTGATGGCAGTTTTTGGGTATGTACAAACTTTAAATGGTGGTTTGCATGCCAGACTTGATTGCATAAAGAGAAGTCTTACGGTTTCGAACATTTTTATGCAAATGTTGGCCTTCTAACTTTTAAAGTGAACTTTATCTTTCTTTTACTCGGTGCAGGCTCTTATGATGGGAGGAAGCACTGGCAACTCTTCTATCATTGAGGTAATAAGATTGATGTTGGAAGTCGCTTGAGGAACTTATGCAGCCAGTTTCTTTCCTGTATTAACCGCTCATGTTTTTTGGTCCAGGGGTTTACAGCAGGGGGATTTATTTATATTGCGGTCGGCTCTGTGATGCCGGATATGCACTCACAAGGGAGTTCTTTGAAGACCTCTTTATCGCAGTTATGTGCCTTGACTGTAGGTATGGGGATTGCCGTTGCTATCTCTCTGGCTGAGTAGATTGAAGTCCTTGGAGGACGGCAAGAGCCTTCATTGTATGTATCTGCACAAGATAACCGTCATGTATTTTGCATGTCCAAAACTAGTTCATGGGACATGCAAAATGCACAAGCAAGTATCCTTACATTTTCCTCCGTGTCGTCAATTCAATGAAATTGTTCTTTGTTTGATTGAGTCCCTGTCTAGTATGTGGTGTCCACGGCAGTGATTGTGGCGATCTTCAAGATACTGTGTTTGAAACTTTGTGAACCTTCATCCATTTTATCAACCGTTGAATGATCAAGGGTGTCTTTAAACATGAAATATACGTTTTCTATTCACCTCTTGGGTCGAACTACCTTACAGCAACTGTAAAATGAGTACCGGAAGTCATCAGTCTCGACGCTGAAGGGCACCGCATTATAGTAAGTACTACCGAAATCTCTCTGAGCATTGGGATCCATGGCATTGCTGCCTAGGTAGGTTCAGGTCGCCCTCTCTTGGGCAATGACTGGCCACTGAGGTTTCTAATTAGGCTGCTTGTCTAGTTAGTTTCCTGGATAGCAGAAAAGACCTTACATCTTTTCCGAATTTTACGGCCGAGAGTGACGTGTTTGAGGTGAGCAAGATAAAACTGGAGAAATGATGGGAAATGAACGAAGTTTCAAATAATGGATGGATTGCGAATTGTCAAATTTTTTCTTTCTCATCAAAATCCTATCACCAATGAATGAGCCAGAACGTCACAGTCCTTCATTGATACTCCACATGTGTCCTTTATGAATATCTATATTTGGCACAAGTTACTTCATTTAGTGTTATTTTGTAACATTTTTTGATCCTAATCAAGAGATCTCTAGTGTGTCACAAACTGATTATTGATTACGGATTACATTCACTTTATCTGCAGGGCATGGTTTCTTATGAAGATTCATATTTATCTCCAACTTAGTGGTCTGAAATGATATTCTTGAAGAATGTGAAATCAGTGCGAATGGGTGCCAACTAGTTCCAATAACTGCGTATGCCACTAAGTAGGAATCGCTATCATTTAGTACTGATCCAGCTGTTTCATTTGATGTAACTCATACAGTTGCTACTAATCCTCACGGTGCTTTGTTATCATGATTGACCATATTTGTTACGAGTATTATGGATTTTTTATATCATACCCAAGTTGTGATAGGGGACTTGATATACATCTTTGTGGCTTCCGTGTAAAGATGGTGGGGTAAGATTGGAGATTTTATAGCCGGATATACATCTGAAAAGTCAAGTAGGGCTAATCCTAGAGCTTCGAAGGATAGGTGCTATTGGCTAGTTGAACCATCTTATTATTTTTGTTGTATGATTAATTTGTTGTTACATATGGTTCAATCTCTTTCCGTGTGAAATTGATTCTCTACCTGAGATACACAAAATCGACCCTTTTGCTCTCTGCTTAGTGATAAATAACAATAAATACTTGATCTTTTTTGAAAGTTTGTCTTACGGATATCCACCTTGACTTTTTTGTGAGTAAACGTGAAAAATTATTTTTATAATTAATACTTAATCAGATAGGATTATTATATGTGTATTCATTCTTTTACAATCAGCACTTGCATTAAGATAAAAAGCAATCACTCTAGAGATTTCTAGAGTGATTGACATAGATATTTTGGACAGACCTGGTAGCCTACCTTCAGTAGCATCACGTCAATGGAATCAGATTCGAGGATGTCTATAATCTCCAAAACATACGTACCTTACATGTATTCTTGTTGAGGCAGGAATTAAAATCTGTGGTTCATTTCTAGATTATCTTTACATTGCGTTTTTTATCTAACCACATAACTTTATGTTTGAACAAGTATGATTTAGCTTTATGTTTCTAGCATGATCTTTTGCAAGCAAGAAGTATCTGGTGCAAATGTAACATTTTACACTATGTAGTATCAAACGAGTACTCTGTTGTATCACTCTGTTTACACCATTGTCGAGCATAAGCTCATAGAATCCTTAAATGTCTCAAAACTACTAGATTTTTAACCTGAAGTCCAATAAAACACAACACCTTTGGCTTTTATTTCTTGGGCACATCCAAGCAATGTTTCATCTCATCTACAACTAAATATGTGTAAGAGAAATATGCAGATAAAGATAAACAACGAGAAATGTACAATCATATACTGCAAAAAAAACTCATACGTTCTTATTTGTTCTTCAAACTAGATACTTTAATATAAGTGCAGATTTTTACATGGAGCCCAAGGTAATTTCCCTTGCACACCATGGTGTATACTAAAGGTTTTTAAAACAAATTACATGTGGTTTTGATAAAAATAAAGTCTGATTTTGCTTAGCACTTGTGTGATTCAAATTGATCACTCATCAAATTTAACATAGCGGACAACTGTGCATGTTTCATCAACTTGATACCAAAAAATTTTGGTAAAGAAATTTAGGTTAAATTACCTAAAATTCTTTACCTACCCTTTTATAAAAGGAATATTTTCAATGGTAAATTTACAATAGTACCCGTGTTTTCTTCATACATGCTAATATATATATATATATATATATATCTCTTCAAAACTAGTGTCATGCGTGTTACACATCATGTTATATATCAACGTAAGTATAACCTATCTTGCCATATAACGTCGAGGATTTCACAAGAATCATATTGACAAATTCATAAACAGAGACATAAATAACTTGACACATTTATTTACATTGAAAAGTATTTAATCAATAAATGACATGAGCGTTTGTCAGTTGAAGGAAGAATAGGCAATAACATCCAATATCCTCTTGATATCAGATTTTCCACATCAGTGCGGTTGTACAGTTTTGAAAAATACTATATTTTTGATCTTTTCGATCATTTTGTAGACGAGCAAATCAACTCAAATTAAAATCTGTAAATCAAATGTAGACATCTAAATGTCTAAATTAGGATGACTCGAGCTTTCAAAAAAAACGTGAAACGTCATCGTGTGTGTTGAAATTCTCCAAGCGCAAACACGACTTCGCATAACAGACTCTTAGAGCAGAGCGTGCAAATACACGTAGTCTACCAAATTTTAGATTGGAAGATCATTTTCAGCTCATGATGCTCAGGATTTTTCTTATACTGGATGCTGTATGTCTATTCTCGTGACTGGTTCGACTCGGACGCACTGAAGAAACAGAGGCAGAAGACGAAAGAAGGCCAATTTAAAGGGGGAAAGAACGCTGATTGTTCTCAAAACCACACTACACCGTCTAATTAGCAGATTCTTGACATACCATTTTGAAAAAGCAGTTGGTGCTTCAAATAATATATGCATATGCATATGCATGCACAATGTTCGAGTTTTAAAAATGAAGGATTTATCCAACATTTCGATAATATTAAAACTTCTCATGTGAGCATTCTCTCTCTGATGGTCAATAATTATTCAACGTGCTGGCCGATAAAATAATAAAATCGTCGTCCAAAATAAAAGAACCGCGGTTGATTTCCCAGACAACATACGTCGTGAACGTGCCATACGCCGAAACAGAATCTGGAATCGAGGGGAACTGGAAAATGCACGAAGCATGCACAAGAGCGAACCGAATGAATGGCTGCAATAAATGAGCGCAATTTCAAAACTGTGGAGGTTATTTTCTGAAAAGCTCATCAAACTTGGTCGCAACAACACCTGAAAACAAAGGGCAGAGATCCGAGCCAGCCAGGAGGACCCTGCGGGCCTGAACTATCCATTCCCTGCCGTCGGAGGCGTCCGGAAACAGCCTCTGGAGTTTTCACCTCAATCATTGTGTTCCCAAATGGTTACGAACTTTCGTACCGCCCAAGGCTTAACAATTACAGAAAACTCGAGTGGACTCGAGTCGAGGAGTGTAATGAGTGCGGGCGGGCGGGCGGGCAGGCAGCAAGGAAGGAAGCTCAAGGAACGAGTCGACGTCCAGGTCCAGCGACGACGACGACGACAACGACGACGTTCAAACTGGACAAGGGGACGAACCCTGGAGCGAGGGCCAATGAATGCCGGAGACGTCTATGTCTGAGTCCCGAGACCCGTGGGATTCAGCAGGGGTAGGGATATGAGGAGGAATCCGAGGAAGTAATGGAGCAAAGCCCAGCCAGCCAGCCAGCAGCGGAGCCATGGGACGGGACGGGACGGGATGGGATATCAGTAGGTGGTGAAGTTCCAACTTCCAGAATTATTTTCTGGCCTCGTCTGTCGCTGTCAGTGCAATATCGTCATGATTTGTTGCAGAGAGGATCATGAGAATCTCCATGCCATCCTCACCCGACCCGACCTGACCCCAACCGGACCGCCGGAACCATGGTTACCGAGCGGACCATGGTTGCGCACAGGTCTGGACTGGACTGTTGATGTGGACGAATAATTTGACCGCCCCCACCCCCCGCTACCATATCCGTAATTATTACGAACTACTCCACAACGAACCAACCAACAATCCAACCAACCGGTGGTCCGGTGGTGGTGGAGGTGGGATGTCGTCCGCCGTCTCCACTCGGCTCGGCTCGGCTCGTTCCGGCTGTTGCCAATTGTGCGCGCGCAGGACCACATCGAGCCAGACGTCGATGACGGGCAGACGCGAAATTCCTCTGCTTCTGCTGCTGCTCACTCTCTCTCTCTCTCTCTCTCTGTCCCTCTCTTTCTTTCTCTTTCTCTTGGGCCCTCTCGCTCGCTGCCTGCCTGCCTGCCTCCTGCTGCTGCCGCCTGCTGCTAGGGCAGGTGGGTTTTCCATTAATAAGGCTGCTGCCCAGTTCTAGAATATCTAGCAGATGCAGTCATTCGTTCAATAATTCAGGGTGGGGGGGGGGGGGGGGGGGGGGGGGGCGTCAATAGTTTACCTGGTGGATCTGCCTTTGATCTCGGCTATCTTCTTCTCCTCCATTGTTCGTGGAGTGGGGTGGAGGGAGGGAATGGGGCCAGAAGACGAGGAAGTGGATTTTGTTTGTGGTCGATCGGGAGGAGGTAAAGCAGATGGGGGGAGGGAGGAGTAAAAGGTCCAAGTTGCTTTGTTGTTGTTGTTGCTGCTGCTGCTGCGGTTGGGCTGGTGGGGGAGCAGGAGCAGGTCACGTTCATCGGGGAAAAGTAGCGTGTAGGAGTAGAGGAAGTAGAGGGGTAGAGGAAGTGGAAGTAGAAGTAGATGTAGACATGGGGACGGAACTGGAGTGTGGACCAGCACCGGAATCGCGATCCGATAGCTCGTGGTTGGAAATCACGATGTTCAGTCACTAGAGCCAAATAAGTTCTCTGCAACAAATATCATTTATGGTTTCGTTCTCGTCGTCGTCGTCGTCGTCGTCCGAGGTGTTTCTTGTAGTTCTCAACGAGCCGTACGTATTTTCGAGGGAGCCCGAGGCCCGACCCCAAGGAGCCAGGAGATGACCTCTACGAGTACGACTCGACCCTCGACTCGGCATCACCCCAACGCTATTGTCAGACATGGTAACAACTGACAGATACTTTCTGGAGCCGGAAAGACCTGCCCACCGATCACAAAGAATCTCCTCCTTCAGACGGGCAATGTCCCTGGAGGATCTTTGCTGCTGCTGCTGCTGCTGCTGCTGGTGTTGGTGTTGTTGCTGTTGCCAAGCTAGGTTCGGACACGGCCCACTTTTCTTTTCTCGCGCGAGGTCAGGTCGGGTCAGATTCAGCCATAGTTGGAGTATTTTGGCGTTCTCGGAAAAGCGATGGATGCAGCACGACCTCAAGGCTCGCATCCTTGGCCGATAGTACATGACCGCATGCACCTTTACGCCATCAATTCCTACATGTCGCCGGGTCATTTGGAAGGAGCGCGCATCAGCTACGCTTCGTTCGAGAGTTCGACGATCGTTTCTCAGGACGAGCAGCGCATCATCGTCTTACGTCGAAACCTTTGATGCATCCCGGATTCCCAGGCCGTCTCGGGACCTTGCGAGGAGCGCCTGGGCAACCTTTTCGGGATGGCGAGTGGGCCAGTATCTGTTTTATTGCCCGCATGTCAGCATCCCCCGAAACAAGACTATGTAAAAATAGCAGACCATATCTCCGGACTCGATGCTCCGATCTTCTCGCGCGCCCGCGAGTGCGCAGATGATCTGTTTTGGTCGGAGTGCAGTTGGAAACTCCCAAACAAAGCAACACATCGAGCAATTGAAGACCTCGCTCCATGCCCACCCCGCCAGGTCTCCGACCTTCGGCTCGTACCGAGCGCTCATGATCATGAGCATCCCTGCCCCGAGCCTCACGCTGGCGCCATGATTCACGTCTCGCCTCCCGACGCCCCTCCCGACGCCCTCTCCCGGCGCCGGCTGCCGTCGCTGGAGCCGGCCGGCGAGCGGCGACGGAGGCCATGCGAATCCGGCACGGAGTACCGATTACGCCACCACCAACCATCCATTCACGCCGTTTTGTCGGTGTAGGTGCGGTGCCTAGTACCGCCTACCGTTGTCGAATGTATCGGCCCAGAGCCCGACGGTTTCTTTGGCGGACCGCGAACGGATCGTATCTCCTCCAACCGTCTGCTGTTCGATCGGTTTGTTGTACAGAACTGTCCACAGGGTTTGGCGTATTCATTCGACGCCACCAAAGTGCCGTCCGTCGCTTCCATCCATCCGTCCGTCCGTCCGTCCCCAGCACAGCTCAGCACTACGGCCGGCCCCATCCTCTCGGGCTATATTTACTGGGTCGCCATGAGTATTTCCGTGAGACCGGAGGCTGCGGTAAGAGCTCCAGTCCGGGTTTCCTTCTACCATGGGGCCCTCTCTGTCGCCCTGACCGGATTCACCGGTCAGGTCGGCTCGGCTCGGCTTGGCCTGGCCTTGGGCTTTGGCTTTGGCTTTGGGGACGATCGTTCCTTCCTTCGTCGTATCAGCGGTTACCGCACGGTTGCACGGCCGACCGCGTAATGCGAGAAGGGAGATGTGGGATGTTCTCGGAGTAGAAGCATGATTGGGGGTGGGGGGGTGGGGATGGCGGGGCGGGGGGGACTCGAGACTAGTCCGGAGGGCAAGGACCGGAAGAGGCGATCGAAGAGCAGCAGCATAAAAGCCAAACCGCAGAAGACGAAGGAGACGACGACGAGGACGAGCTTTTCTTCCAACAAACACTCCGAAGGTGCATCACGGCATCGATTGAAATGCCAGAGAAAATGGATTCGCCAATGTTGGCCGGACTAGAGGAGACCAAGGATGTAGACCGGTGCAGGAGAGAGAGAGAGAAAGGGAAGAGGAGGGGAGGGGTGAGGTGAGGTGAGGTGGAAGAAAACGTCCGGATGTCCACAAAAGACAAGGCAAAGCTGGGAAGAATCGCATGCGTGAATCTGCAGCCTCGTGAACAGCAGGAGAACGCAAGGTCCTACTGGCCTAGCGAAGAGTTGAAAGTCAAACACTGCCCGCTCATACAGCAGATTCCTTGGCCCCTGAGGCTGTTCGGAATGATCACAAGTGTGCCTCTCTAGTCTGTGAGTCGACACTGCGCAAGAACCGAACATTTCTCTGATTTGCCACTTTCCACTGCCCGCCCGCCCGCCCGCCCTCCATGCCTGCCTGCCTGCCTGTCTGCCTGCCATTATTCTTACAGCAACAGGACAGGACCACATATTAACAACGACAACTCGAAGTTTTGTTCTCCCTGATAATATCCCCAAGCCTTGCTAGTCAAAACCCGCACGATCTGCATGAAGCTAGACTCGGTAGTAGTCTCGCCACTGAGCCCGCTGGGACGGATGTCAGTGTCAAGTACCGTTCCGGCTTTTCGTGTGTAAAGATAAACGCTTAATTATAGGAATCAGGTGGTAGCTCTTCGGGCGATGGATGGATGGATGGAAGCATCGATTGATAGAAAGATGGATACAGGGCGATTTTCGAACCGCAATTTGTCGGTTTACAGGCCACGAACGCGAAAACAAGAAAAAAAATGCGAAGAAATGATTCGACATGGAGGCTCGGCGGTCGATTCGGAAATGTTTTATGCATGCCCTGATTAGTTGGTGGAATAGTACGAGCGAGAAGACATGTCCACGAGGTCAAAAGCGCAGAGTGAATGCTGTGTTGACAACCCCGACCGAGTGCTGACGGGAGGAGACCGAATTCTCAAATCACAAGGCACCGTGGAGAAATCTATATAAGACAAAAGCCCCATCCCCCAGCGCTCGATTCAGTTGTGGTGTTCCTGTGTGAGCGAGCGAACGAGCGAGCGACCGGGTCAAGCAGTCAAGTCAGTCAAGCACATTTGAGCCTTTACACATGATGAATCGTTGATAGCTCGAGCGACTTTCTGATCCTCGAGGGAGCAAGGCAGGCAGGGAGTGAGGGAGGGCTAGTTGGCTGGCTGCCATCGCGTAGAATCGGACTGACCCCAACCGAACCAATTTTGCAACAAAACGGCGTCTTATTCTGGCGGGACTTGAGACGAGAAACTCCGACATTAGTGTTCGAAAAATCTCTCTCTCTCTCTCTCTCTCTCTCTCTCTCTCTCTCTCTCTCCGCCCGGGAAATTCGATCAATCAATGAATCGGATGCGAGCTATGGAGGGAAGGGAGGGCGGGCGGTTGGTTTGGTTTGGTTCAGGAGGGGGAATCGTCTTGGGACACAGCTAAGGGCGTGTCGCGCATTGGGGGGTTTCGTGGCCAATCTGGTGTGTGGTCCCCAAAACTCTTTTGCATCGCGCGGATTTGGAATCCAGTCTGGCACCAGAAAGCTGGACTCGTCTACAAGAACGGGTTAACGCTTATCACAACATATCTCCTTGCTTATGCGCGGGTGACGTTTCTCACGTCGTCGTTGATCTCGTCACCATGAACACTCGCACATTCAGATGGATAATCGAAATCCCAGACGAGCAGCAGCAGCACCAGCAGTAGCAGCGGCAGCGGGAGCAAGAGGAAGAGGGTGCGACGGATGGCATGCTCTCTCTCTCTCTCTCTCTCTCTCTCTCGCTGGCTAGCCGCCTGCCATGGCCCACCGCCTCCTCCCCTCCTCCCCTCCTCCCATCCCCTCGCTCCCCGAACTTTAAAAGTAACGCTCCGAGATTTGGTACTAACTGCTCACCTTTTCGTATCTCCCAGTCGTGTTATAATTATCCTCCGAGCTCCAAAAGGCTGTGTCAACATCCTCGTCGAGCTGGGCGTATCTCCTCCTTGTGGGCCATTTATGGATAACAACAGATCTCATGAGGTGGTGGTGTATGGATTTTCAATTCCATCTCCCCCTCCCTCCCTCCCTCCCTCCCTTTCCTTCCGCCTCTCTTTTCCTTCCTTCCTTCCTTCCTTCCATGCTCCTCTTCCTCGACCCTCAGCACCTGCTGCTGCGCTTTCTGAACGGACCAGTTGACATTTGATCGCAGGACTGACGAGTGCCTCTCGACGCCCTCAGCTCTTCCTTTCCCTTTCCTTCCCCTGAATCCCGATTTCCTTCCCTTGGTTTGGCTTCGCGGCACTGCACCTGAAACAAGATTGCAGTGTACGTAATCTCGTCTGGGCCGTCCTTGCAAGCCGTGGGCACGTCAAATGCACATTCACACAAATCAAATCCCGATCTCGATTCTCTCTTATATTCTCGGACAGGCGGCCGGGCCGACTGATAAACGGATGGACGGGAGGGAGGCAGGGCGGGCGGGCTGACTCTTTTGGTTCGCTCGGCCTACAAAGGTAACGCCGGACGGACAGCGGTACCGTCCGGCGATGGCGATGGATGTGCGAGGTCCGAGCCAAACCAAAAGCGCTTTGCTTTCTCTCCTTGTTTCTGCCCCTCTCCTCTCCTCGTCTCGTCGCCCATCTCTGCCCGCTCGCTGCTCATGCCACGCACTCCGTCTTCCTCCACTTCCCTCTCGCGCAATTTTTATTTATTTCTAAAGTCCGAGGGATTCGTGTGGATGCCTGACCTGACCTGACCTGATCTGATCTGATCTGACCGGGGCTTGGCTTGGCTGGTTTGCCCTGCCCTGGGGGGAGGGGCTCACGAGAGTGGCTGCTGAGCGCGATGTGTACCCTGGCGCGGCTGGACGGACGACATGTCTTTATTTGAGCCAGGATTGATTCGACCGGCAACGAGAGAACCTTTGAGGTGAGGGCAGGGCGGGGCAGGGCAGGTCATGATGTCCAGAATGAACTCGTCCTCTGCTTTCTCGGGGCTTCCCACATGCGACCGGTTATTGGAGGTGTACTGTGCCTCTCGACAGGGCTGTCCGAAATCAGTGTGCCATATTATGCTGTTTTCATTATGCCATACAACACAAGACGGGCCGTCCTTTGCCAGTCTACAGTACGACTCCCTGCTTTACGTACGTGTGAATATTATGTACCCCCAGACTTGTCTATCATTTTCGGACTTTTCTATGATCCTTTCCAATTCCTAGCTTCCTAAACCGTCTTTTCAGCGCTTCCCAGCTGCCTCATGTCAACAGCAGTTTCCACTTTCTCGTTGGTCGTGTATCATGTTGAATATCGCCCTCTTCGTCTACCTTGCAATTTGACTGAATTTCTTCAACGAGATCAAAATTCCTTACTGAATGAAAAGAATGCCCCTTGCAAATTATATGAATAAACGCATTTTTTAAAAGACCGAGTTGACCCACAAGAACCAAAGTCTAGGCCGAAGCTTCACCCTCGACCACAATCAGTACAGCCGTTGCATTTAGCAACGTGGGCTTGCAAATCTTCCTCATACTTCCCCACTTTGTTTCTATACGCTTATACAATTCAGTCATATATTTTTTGTCCTTGCCAAATATTATCTACGAATAGAATATATTAAATTCTCGAGACTGTGCATTGAGGCTTGATATTGAATTCTAGCCTTCCCTCAAACATCAACCTTTGTGTGAAAGTCTCCCAATTTA